TTTATATATATATATATATATAAAATTACAAAGCCAATATAATATGCAAACAAGCATAGCTCTCTGTCACACACAACTCCACACATACAAACACACTTAAAAAAAATTATATATTCTACTCTAAATTGGCAAATTGCTGTCTCCCAAAATATGGACTTCCCACATGTAGTGATATCAGAAGTGTTATAAAGTTGGTAATTTTGGGGTAGCCTCTCACATGGTTTGTTAGTAGAAACATAATAATAACACTAATAATTTTTACAAATAAAAATTATAATGCTAATGATGTTGAAATTGGAATAGCATCACTGAGTTTGGTACATCTTGAAATGTTACAAAAGTGCCTTATGAAAACATTTTTATATGTACGAGCTTACAATTTAATTATCGAAGAATTAAATTTTTAATTTCAGAAATGTCATTTACAGTAATATATAAAAACTTTTCCTCCTCTATTTGTTGTTTGAAATCATTTGTACTTAACAGCTGATGCTTGAGAACCAAAGTTACTAACATTAACTTACTGCTACTGACATAACTATAAAATTACTGAAACAGATGCCAACAGTATGACACTCAACACATTTGGAATGTAAAGGTTGTCATAGATGACTGGTTAAGAACTCTGAATAGTGGGCAAGTGACAGAAGAGTGGAAGTTGGATAATGTTGCTCCTTTTTTTCAAGGGAGATGATAAAAACTGCACGGGTAATTATAGGCCTATTGGTCTTACATCAGTGGTGGGAAAAGTTTTTGAAAGTCTAATAAAATATGCTTTGCAAAGTCATTTAACAAAGTTTAACCCTATGAGCACAGTTGGGGTCAAAGTGCACATGCTATGACCTTTCACAGAGTACCATTCATCACGGTATTATGCATTTGATAGTTATAAACTATTCATTTTAACCTACATTGCTGATTTATCAACAATATGTAGTAGAGGAAAGTAGATACTGTACAGACTGTTGATATGCATTTGGGAGGCCCTAGAGGTAGTGAAAGTGCAATATGCAAATTGTACAATGGACAAAATTATTTTTATTCTCCATGTGAACATTACTCTGCACTCCAACTTGTCAAAGTCTAAGTTAGACTGACACTGATGTCATCAAATCACAGAGATATCTTCTGTAACACATCTGATTTTTTGTGCACAACAGACTTGTACATTTTATTAAAAGCTTGTGACATCTTGTGTAGATACATGTAATAAATTGGAAATTACAGTCAACATTCCTTCTCCATAATGAGTTTAGTCCATTAAAGCAGCCCTGTGCACATTTGAGTAAATTTTTTGTTGGACAGTCAATATTGGTCTACTAGGGAAAAAATCTTGCATTATTAATATTTTAATATTCTTTGAAGAGATTATGTTTTATGTCGATGACGGTAAGGGTGTGGATTTGGTGTATCTGGATTTTCAGAAAGAATTTCACAAGGTGCCACATAAAAGGCTTGTTAAAAAATTAGCTCTATAGGTGTGAATATAAGTTGGCATAAGAGATAGAAAAATGACTTGATAGAAGAAAACATGGGGTTGTTATAAATAGAGTTCAGTCAAATTGGATTAACATCACAGATAGAGTACCTTAGGGTTCAATGTTAAGACTTTTACTTTTTTTTATTTTGATCAATAACATAGATAAAGATATGGCTAATAAAATATCTAAATTTGCTCTTGATATTAAGACCTTGCATACTTATTCTGCTGCTTTACAAAAAGATTTAGATCATTTGGTGAGTTGGGCAAATAAACAGCAGATAGCCTTTAATTATAATAAATGCAGGTAATGCATATGCATTATCGTTATTTGAATTATAAGTGTAATTTTGATTAAATTAACTTTAACAGAGTTATGGAAAAAAATAACCTTAGAGTCTGATTAATCAGTCTGGTTATCCAAGCAGTGTGTTGTTACTAATGGCAGAACAAATAGGATTTAAGTTACATCAACAAAAATATTGAATAAAAGTCTAAAGAGGTTATATTTTCATTGTATAGGTCACTGATTAGGCCAGTAGTTTCCAAACTGTGTTTTGCAACAGGTTGCTATGGGGTATCAAAAGAGTTTCACCAAATGAAAAATAATTAAAAGATAAAAAAAAATTCAACAGAAAGATATTGCATGTGGCAGCAGGGGTTTTATGCAAATCAAGGTATGTGTAAAAAGTTTGGGTTAAGAATTAAGTGAACCAAATTTGGTGTTCTGTGTTACGTCTCAGGCTCCTTACCTTAGAAATGTAACCGAATTGTTGAAAAGGATTCAAAGGAGAGATACTAGAATGCTATCTAGGAGAGAAATATTGTCATATGAGAACAGGTTAAGATCTTTGAAATTGTTTTGTTGTTTTTTTTTTGAAAACAAAAGTTATAGGAGATGTGATTGAGGTATTTAAAACTGGTAAGGAAATTGATAGTGTTGATGTGTATCTTATTTTTGCATAGTTAACAGTAAAACTAGTAGAGCTAGAGAACAAACATATAAATTTTGTTGGGGTAGGAGTAATTTTCTAGTGAGACAGGTTTATTTTTCTAACACAGTAGTTAGCTTTTGGAATTGATTACCTTCAGACGTGGTAGATGCAGTTAATTTAAGATAGTTCAAGGGAAGGCTTGAAAAATATATTTGAATGATGAGGGGGTGGCTTTGAATTTTTTAGTTTAGTGAATTGGATGACCTAAATGGATGAACAGGTTCCTTGTAGTCCTTAAATTCTATGTTTATGTATTGTATGTTAGAGAATGAATGGTTATACGGTGTGATGCAAAAGTCATGCACAACTATGATATTTCTAAGTCCTGCCCTTACAGCTGCTTGAAATGTGCATCACTGATATCACAATGCAGTCATTCCTTTGCTCAGGTTGGAGTTTGTATTTTGTTGCATCTGCAGAGTTAAAGTCTAACAGGATGTTTTGACTCTCTTCTTCAAATCTTTCAAGTTATTTGGATGTATACTGTGAAGCATTCACCAAGATTTGATGCATCCCTCCCCCCTAAAAAGAGTATAATGGTGTAAAAATCAAAAGACTGTGCAAGATCTCAACATAACAGGATCATTTCTATGGAAATACATTCTTACAAGGTTAAAGACATCCCATTCAATTACTGTAAAAAAAAGAAACAAAAGATAATGAAATGCAAACAAGAATTTTAGAAAATGACAATAAAGCAAATGATTAGTTACTGTTAGTTTCTTTAATATTTTTTAACCTCAAAAAAATAAAAAAAGAATGAAAAAGAACCAAGATTTAGTTCTAATTTAACATGTGAAATTATGTTTACTATCAAAATTTAATATCAAAAATAGATTATTTCCAACTTTTAGACTTGCAGGAATATTGAGCTAGTATTGTACATATATAAGTAGACTGTTTGAAATGACAGCTACTATTGTCCATGAGTTTAAAATTTCCTCTAAAAGTGAAAAAATATACTTGAAACTGCTAGTCTATCATATGCAATCAAAGATTATTTTCCTGTTTCTCAATGTGAAAAATACAAATTTGAAGGCTACAATGTGAGAGTTAAAGGAGCCCAGTTATTTTTCCATTTTTCTTATTTTTGTATCTTTATTGTCACATTTGTTTCACAAGAAATTTAGGTATGTTGAATTTTTACCTTGTTTGTAATTATTGATTTGTGTGTGTCTTTGACAAGGTGCTTCAGGGTTTTTATACTTTTCAACATTGCACATACTCCACCTGAAATTCATATTTTCTTTGGTTTTATAGAATGGAACACTCACCTATTGTTCTTTTGTAATTAAATTCTTCTAGATGTTCATTTATATCTTTTACTGCTTTTTTACGTGCTTTTTGGAACAATGATTTCAGAAGATCTTCCTTCTCTATGTGGTTTAGTAGAACATCATCTGTATTCCAAAGTACAATTAATGCAAATAAAGCCATAACTACAAAATTATTCTTCAACTATTGAAATAATATAGATAACTTTTGCAAGATTAAAACAGTTTTAAATTATCTACAGTATATTAAAAAAATTGACTTAAAATTGATTTATCATCCAATTAAAGCAGTAAATACAATAAATAATTTTTCTGGATTTTTACTCACCTATTTTCAGATTATACAAATAACAAAAACATTTAGGTATGGCTAATAAAAGTAATATCTATAAAATGTGTCAACAAGCACAATTTTTTTTTAATACAAATGTGACAAACTTAGTTAGCTAAATCACTACTGAATAGATTTTAAAGTATTAAATGGCTTTAATACTTTAACAAAACACCTTTCATTACTTTTTGTACCTTTGTAGAATTTGTTTGAATATTGAGTGGTTATCAGTTGGAAAATAAATAAAAATTTAGCGTATAAACTTACTACAATTGAATCAAATAAAATAACTTAAAAAGAACAATATTATTTTATCACAAAATCCTAAAACTTACCTATATCATGCAGTATACTTTCATCAACATTTTTAACCTTCATTGGCTAACCAAAAGAGAAAAATTTGATGAGACACTTAACACGTAAATCATTACATGCAAGTATAAATCACCAGAACAGCTTCAAAATAAAAGCATTGTGTATATTTCAATAGTTCCCATATTATGCAACTAGTCTTAAAAAAATATATACAAAATATTTCCAAAAAATCATACTCAAAAAAGCAAGTATAGTTAGAGGTATAACTTCTATCATATCTGATCTTCCATATAAAATAAATAGTGTTATTTAGTAATGCTAGTTGGAAAGTTTTCAATATCAACTTCTCTCTACCTTATAGCCTTCGACGATAAATACTTAACTTATTTTTGATAGATTGTTTAGGAAGAGTATTCATGGACCTGAAGATGGAAGACTTTCAAAACATCGTCCTCTACACCTGTGTTCTACAACAGGCTGTTGCCGTCCATTCCAGTGTACTCATCAAATACTTTGCTTGTTTTCTACCATCGTATGTATGTGTAATTTGGTATTGATGTGCAACCTCTTTAATAAATATAAACTTAAAAACCAATTTTTTTTGACAAACTTATTAGTTAATTTTCACAAAATACATGTATGTAGATACCTGACATATCAGATTGTTTGTTTCTTTGTTATTACACACAAAGCTACACAATAAATTGTTTGTGCTATACCCATCACAATTAACCCAAATTTTGATGTTATAAGCACTCAGACTTATTGCTGAACCACCAAGGGGCCAAATCAGTTTACTAACTGATCCAGCTTATAGTTAGGTTACATTTAAAGAGAACAAATTTTATAATATTTTCTATTCATTCAAATTCACAAATTAATACAACATATCATAAAGTAGATCTTTCAAGTTACAAAAAATGTTGGATTTAAATACACTTACAAAATAAAAATACATTTAATATTGCCAAACTATCTAAAAAACAGTACATTACTGAAAAAAATGTATTTAATATAATTTTGATAAGCTCTTTATCAAAAAAGAAACATTACTACAAAACAATCTGTCAGTGAGATTTAAGAGTTTATTAGACTCGTCATTACTGGAATGTTTTGCGAATGACAATTAAACTTAATTTGTTACATATTTCACACCTATTTACTGAATAATTTTTAAAATAATATTACAAATTATATTAAGTCACTCAGCATCGTTGAAGATTTTAAAGTCTTGGAATGAATTACTGAGTAACAAACAGAATACAAGTAGACTGGTTCTTAATGAATATCACTTCTGACTTCCCTGAAATGTAAGTAATGTGACACTTACATGTGAAGAAATTCTAGGACATTTCTTCATAAACATAATATTATTTTATTTCTGCAATTTTTGTTGAAGCTCTCTTGTTGAAGCCTTTGATGACTAAAATGTTAGTGTTAAATGAAAAATATGCTGTTTAAAAATGTTCATTGGTTCAAAGTATCACATAGCAACAATAATATCTACAACAACAATTAGAAAATAAACAACAATTTAAAAAATATAAAACACATAAGAAGCATTTCAAACCAAACAAAAAAACTAGCAGAGTAAATACTATTCTGATTCTAAAAATGGATTAAAATTATAAAACTGGGTAAAAAGGTCAGTAACTATTTTTTCAAAAGATAGAAGTGGAAAAGATGGTATAGTGATGATTTAATAGCGTGTTTAAAAATGCAGTGTATGTTAAATTCAGTTTGAAAAGTAAATTTTACAAATGGGTGTTGCAAGTTGATATATTTAAGAAAATGGGAAACATGATAATCTTGTCAGCAGAAAAAAAATAAAAATTCAGTTTGAATTCTTAAGGTCAGGTGTCAAGCCATGTGTGTAGTGACAAAGAAATGAATTAGCTGGGGAAGTTCCCACAGCTATGTCATCTATTTGATAGATTTCAACTATTCTAAGTGAATCATTAAACAGACTGTTAGTGTAGAAAAAATTGTAAAAACAAATACTGAGTTTCCTAGTAATGTCAAAACCAGCCATAATGTGTTTATCATTGAGAAGAGAGAGAATTCACAAAATTTCATGGTCAAAATAGTACTAAGTTTAAACTTGTGTCCAAATATCCTTTATCCCTGACTGCCCAGTGATGGTAAAAAAGAAACTAAATAAGAAAAAAATGTTTTATTTAACTTCCCAAAACTTCACCAACTTGATATCCCCCTGAATTTTTTCCGCCTTAATCATACACAACTACAACCTTGCCAAATGCATAGTCCTTATCTTACAGACTCTCGTGTCCCTAGTTCTTTTGATCATATAGAGTGTCATGAAATTTGTAGCATAGTTTGTTTATTTGAGAATGACAGTACCATTTTCTTTATCAAAAGTGAGTATCAGGTCATTGTTGAAGAAGAGATCTTTTAAGGCAGTATTACCTCAAGTTTTTAACGTATCATATAGACTACATGTTTTATGGTTGTAAAAGGCAGACAGGGCCAAGTTTATAATTTCATTAGTAAAATAAATCATGGGTTCTGTATAGTATACGTAAATTGGATTGATAAAAAAACTTTATAATTTTTTGCACAAGTATATTACATTTGTAAGCTTCTGATTTAAATACCATGTCATCTTCCATCCATTTTAGTGCTTACCACTAAAGATTATGGTTATTGTTAGAGGATGATGTTGTTTTTTTTTCATTTCTAAGATGAAACAGAGTTTGACCAATAATGAGGAGAAAAGGAAACAGCTACTGGCTTGAAGGCTGTATCCACGTTGTTTCATAAGTTACAAAAGACCAATAATATCACCTAAGTACTGATGCTGCTGCATGATGGAGGGCTGAGAAACAAGAAAGGGTCTTTTTTTTTAATATAAATTATCATCATACTTATTGGTATGCTTTAGTCTGTTGAGCATCTATGTCAATATAGAATCAATATCACATGCATATTTTAATAAATATAATACACTTCCTTTAGTTGAAACATGTGTACTAGTTTACAGTGTGGAAAGTCTATCACATTCATTTTAGTTTTTATGAAGCCTAAACTCTTCCTATTACATCAATGATCAGAGCTTCCATTTATAAAATTAAAAGTTCAAGAATGCTGTTATTCTAGAGAAAAAAATATATTAATGACTTACAGAAGTTATCCTTGCTAACCTAGAATATTACTGCATAATCTTTATACTACTGTTGTATTAGGTCATCAAGAAATTAATGTCGTGTTTTGGAACATCATCCAAAAATACGTACATCACGTATAATAGTTAAATAAACTGCCTAAACACCACTTTAGTGTAGCCTATGTAATGTGTAAAGTTTAGTATACTCTAATCCCTTATAGTGTTGGCACACAATGAGACACACACATTCGGCATTTAATGCTGTTTGAATACAAGAAGAGAAACAGCCCCTGTGTAACCACAAAGAATATCAAACAAGTTTATGGAAATGTTTTCAACATTTGT